GCCTAAATCACAGAAGAATTTAAGTAGCAAAGAACCACCAGCTTTTACCAATCCACACAAGATTTGTACCATTCAGTTGCAAATTCTGAGCAGGTTCCACTCTCCTCTCTGCCTTCTTAATGGTTCTTAACTGATATTTCAGTATCTCACTACAACTTCTCCACAGGAGATTTCTGATTTAACAGTGCAGCAAGCTATCAATACCTATATATTAATGTATAAGGATAAGGTAGCCTCTTATAAAATGCAGATTTACAAAATCTTCTAGGAGATTTTAAATATCACATCTATCTTGCATGCTGTATACCATAAACCCACTACAAGTGTAATTATATATAATTAGTTGTGTGTTTGTAAACCCAACAGCTTAATCATGTTTAATTAACCACATTGTAATTGGAACATTCGATAGTTAAATGTTGTCTTGCTAAACTGATGAACACCTGGAACACGCAATTACTTTCACCACCAATAAATTAACTTTAACTAAAATCTGTCATTAGTAATTATTTTCCTTCCTTCCCGGTAGACCACAAGGATTAGAGATAATAAATAGCCAAATCAGATCCATAGCAATTTGTTAAGACCACAACTGCAGGAGCCCTCCTACTGCCAATTTTACTTTTCTCTAATATATTCTTCAGCAGAGATTACTAACTGCTGCATAAGTCATTGTCTTCCCTTGTTTTTTTATTTCCCAAACTCATTTTTATCAGAGCCTTGGTTGTTTGTGGGGGTGGGGGGGGCACGGGAGGAAGGGTTGGCTTTGTTCTTAAGAACTACCAGGTCAAATGTACCAAGTTACCTGCAGGTGAGGAGCAGGGAGAAAGGCTCACCCCCTCACTCAGACCCCTCACAGAGGGTCGGGCTGCTGGTTTGCCAGCAGGTCTTAGCACAAGTAAAAAATGGGCACACGCCGAGGGAATATCTTCACACAAGCACTTGGAGCCGTTTGTTTACCCATTTCAAGGCACACAGACACATAAAAATGAGAGGCCTTAGAAAAGTGTCCACTTAGAAAAATAACTGGAACACTTTCAGAAGAAGAGAAACCAGACAACACAAAACACACCCTGCATTAAACTGCAGGGTGTGTTATCTGTAGGTCAAGCACTCCTATTCACTGTCATTATTCCCGATCATTGGCATCTGCTGTGGAACCAAGAGGCAGCAAATCTAAAACGATGAAAGGAAATAAACACAATGCAACGACAGATTGCTCAACTGTCATATCACAGCCTTGAAATCACAGGATCAGGCGGCCTTAAAAAAGGACTAGACATTTGTACAAACAAGAACATACACCATCATAAGGATTTAATAACGGTTTGAAGCCCATGACATACCTCTTGAGCTGCAGCTGGTACAGGGAGTTGGGGGTACCATTGCTGCTCCCAGGCTTCTTGCAGCAAATCCAGAGCCAGCTCCCACTGAATATTGACACCAACATCTATAAACCTGACCAACCACAAGATACGGGACAGTGAAAAGAAAGAGCAATTTCTTTCAATCCGGACATGTCTGGAGTAGCTTCATTTTGTGTACACAGATTCTAGTTTCCTTAGGTGAGCCAGAAATATATTGCAGTCTCTTCTTTTGCACACTGGTACAGAGAAATGAGAATTCAATCAGGCCCTACATCACTGTGGATGGGATAGTAGGGAATAGGCAGAGGTAGAAAATTATGTGAGGCTGTGACAAACAAGAAATGAGGTGTTGCAGATGCAGAATCTCTGAGTTAAAAAAACCCCACATAATCACTAGTTCTTCACAGAGCCTTTCAACACAATGTTGGCAGTACTGATACCTGGCAAACAAACACCAATATGGAAATTTTCAGCCTAAGTGACAGAAGTCGTTGAAAAAATTCCTTGAAGTTGACCAGTCAATTCAACTTACCTGTTATTAGCATGACCAGGTTGCTATTCCATTACCTAGGCAGTGTTTCACACACATAGTTTGCCTGTAGCTGTACATGTGTCCACTATTTTCACAGATTTAACTCTAATGGAAGGATTGCATCTCCCAAAATTGTCTCTAGGAAATCTTACATCTCCTGTAGCAAGTGATATAACAAGAGATGAACTATCAAATGAACTGCTGCTAACACACTGCATGGAAAAAAAAATCAGATCTCTTGCATGCTGTAATACATGACACAGGTATTTGCCTCAAGCAAACTAAAAACTGAATGGCAGAACCAGCTGATAGTCTGAAAAGTTTACCTCCTCCTTTCTCTACTGCTTAGGGGCAAGAGCGTTAATCAACAGAGCAAAGGATTATTTGTACTTCACTGAGATTAAAAAGGGTAAATGCTAAAAATGAATCCACAGCCTTCACTTCAAGCAATAACACACAGTGCTTCAATAAAGGAGGAAACAGCTTTGATGGAACATCAAATGGGATAATGAAAAAGATCACTGAGATGAGCTTGACATGAATATTGAGCAAAATTTCCTTTCAGGAAAAAGGAACTCAAGCCCTGCCTTTATACTTGATCTGATTTTTAACATGGTGTGTGTGGGGAAAGGGGGTCTATATGACTGGCTGATGACAAAAGAAAGCAGTGGCTATTTGCCAGCCAGGAAAATGTAGATTCAGCTGAATCCCTGATGCTTCTCCAGAATCAGTGAGCCACCAGGAGGGCTGGGGAACGAGAGAATGTGCAACAAAAAACTAAAGACAGCATGAACTGAAGGAGTAGTGGAAAAATAATTTTTCATTATCCTCCAGTAACTTTTCCATTACTTTTCCATTTATAATTGATATTTTTCCTCTGACAAGGGGGAAACTGAGGCTTAAGCAAACCCAACCAAGAATTAAAGGATAAATATTGCCTAATGACAGGCAAATGGCATTAAAATGTAGGTGGCATAAATGAATGTTGAAGCTTTGCCCCTGCTCAGCAGCACTCAAGTCAGAAAAGAACCCCAGCATTCCTCAGGGAAAAATACAGCAGTATTAAAGGTGAAACACAGAGAGGAGTGAAAGAGCTGAAATCAGCTCAGACTTTCTTTCTGGGCAACTTGTGAACATCACAGATGTATTTAAGGACA